CACTGTGGAGGACCAGCTGCTCATCCCTGGCAGGACAATGGAGCAGGGCTGCCTCATTTCTTCTTTTCCTTGTCTGTCCCCAGAGAGTTCACCTGGACATCCAGGTAGGAGAACACGCCAACGACTATGCAGAAATTGCGGCCAAAGACAAGCTGAGTGAGTTGCAGCTCCGAGTGAGACAGCTGGTGGAGCAGGTAGAGCAGATCCAGAAAGAGCAAAACTACCAACGGGTATGTTGGGCAGGACCTTCTGTGTGGGCTTCATCCCAGGTGCCTTCCCTTGGCTCATCCAGTAGTTGCATGCAGGTCAAACTTGGGTTTCAGAATGAAACCCAAGGAATTCACATGTCTGTGCTGCTCTGCCAAGTCTAAAAGGCAGGGTGGGTACCACTAACTCCTGTTTGTAACCAAGGAGACACAGTGATACATGCACAGTGACAAAAGGAGGGATCGATGCTGATACTTTGGGTGTTAATTCCATGGCTGCAGGTGCTTCCAGGAGCAGCTATTTCAAACTCCGTTGTGTCAGGGAGCCAGGATGGGACCATGAATGGCTCTGTGACCATAAGGACTGTTCTGTATTTAAGCCTCAGGGACCTCAGTTAATTGTCAGCTGAGGGCAGCCTTGCAGATATTCTAGACCTGGGTTTCAAGAGAAGCTATATGGATTTTTCCCGGGTTTTAAATATTTGCAAAACACACGTGCATGCCAGATGTCCTCACTGGGCCACCAGTTTGCAGCTTGTGCCCACAGTCCTCAAGGAGCAGCTGGGGAGACCTGGGCAGAGAGGTGAGAGCATGTCCACTCCTGAGTGCTAGAGGACGGCTCTCTCTGATGGAGTGATACTGCAGCTACTTTACCTCTGCCCATGGCTCCACGAGGGGACCAGGGGAGGAAGAACACAGTCCTCAGGTCGGGGGTGGGGGGGGTCTCTTCAGGTCTTTGCAGGTACTTGACGGGAAGCTGAGTGGAGCTGCCTGGCCCTGGGTTCCCCTCCCAGTTACAATGGTGCCAGGTGGGGCCCAGCAACCTTAAGCCCCTCTTCCCTTCTCTCCTCCCACAGTGGCGAGAGGAGCGCTTCCGGCAAACAAGTGAGAGCACCAACCAGCGGGTGCTGTGGTGGTCCATTCTGCAGACCCTCATCCTCGTAGCCATCGGTGTCTGGCAGATGCGGCACCTCAAAAGCTTCTTTGAAGCGAAGAAGCTGGTGTAGCCATCCCTGGCCTCACAGGCCATCCTTCCTCCCAGGCTGGGGGAGAAAGGGCCTCCTGGAACTGATTTTTCTCTGGCAGGAGGACTGGTTCCGAGCCTTGGCTATCTGGAGGGGAGAGGGGCTACAGGCACCCCCCCGGCATAAGCTTAGGGCAGTGGTTTGGCTGGCTGATACTGAGCAGATGGTAGGGCAGTGCCTGCCCCCTCCCCTGGGCTCTGAGCCCTTTGCAGTAATCAGCCAGCGGCTGGTAAAGCCACTGGGAGCCCCACTGGCACCTCAGAATCACAGTGTTACTGATCAGGGATGTGAGGCTGTTGTCTGGGGTGGCTGGGGGGAGGGGAGCGGGTGGGCAAGCCAGTCTTTTTTCTGTCTTCCTTTGCTAACGTGGGATTTTTGAGCAGGTGGGGGTGTGGCTGTGATTCCTACCACTCCGGGAACCTCACTGTACCCTCCTTGGGCCCAGACTGCTGATCCAGGATGTTTGTGTCAATGGAGGGTGGGGGTGGAGGGAGTTGCAGTGTGGGGAGAGTAACCTGGAGCTTGACCTCATCTTCTCAAATTGGTTGTCCTTTTTGGGAGCTTGAGGAACTGGGGTCAGGCCAAGCAGAGGCCTTGGTGCTGGTTGGGGATGGGGCCTGCAGAGTCTTAGTTACTGATTTCATTTTCAATAAGTCTAGGTTTGTTACATTGGTTTCCCAATAAAAAAAAAAAAAAATTGATTTCTTGTCCAGTGTAGTTACTGCAGTGGCCATAACACGGAGGGGCTTGGGGAATGTCATTTGTCCCACTGTGCAAAGCACTTCATGTTCCAAGGTGAAAATCCACCTGGGAACTTTAGTCCTTCTGTCCTCTCTCCAACTTCCTGCAGTAGGCGATAGATGGTGGGTTTTCCCAAGACCATAAAACAAGACACTTGGGGGCTTGGTGCTCAGATTTACACCATTTTCCTCTGTGCCCCCTCCCTTGTAACAAAGTGCCCTCCCTGCTTTTCCAGAGCAGGTGGAAGTCACTGTCATGGTGCTGCGAGGAAGGACCTCGTTCAGGAAGGGAATGTACACTGAACAGAAGTTCTGTAGGTTTGGGAAGGACAGAAATCCCTGGGCTGGTGGGGATGAGGATGTTGTTGGTTTTAACCAAAAGCTTGAGATTTCAGTAAGGACCTTGAAGAAGAGGAATGATTCTGATACAAAGTAAAGCTGGGGGTGTTGGACAAACTAGCGGATGGAGGTCAATGGGCATGGTTCCCACTGGAGTCAAGGTAATTTGAGGAAGATGTTTAAGGTTGGTTAGAGTTGGAAGACATTTGTATGTTACCCAGTGTTCAACACAGTTTTGAGTAGAAGAACCCCGTGGAGGGGCACCCCAGTGTGTTAAGCCTCTGCGTTCAGCTCAGGTCATGATCTCAGGGTCTTAGGATCGAGCCCTGCATCGGGCTCTCTGCTCAGCAGGGAGCCTGCTTCCCGCCCTCTCTCTGCCTGCCTCTCTGCCTACTTGTGATCTCTGTCTGTCAAATAAATAAAATCTTTAAAAAACAAAAAAAAAAAAGGAAGAAAAAGAAGAAGAACCCCGTGGAGATAAAGCTTTTGAGAGAGAGTACAAGCAGGGAAAGTGGCAGGGAGAGGGACAAGCAGACTCTGCTGAGCAGGGAGCCAGATGTGGGCTCGATCACACAAGAACTGAGCTGAAGGTAGACACTTAACCGATAGAGCCACCCAGGGCGTTCCCCATGGAGATAAATTTGAGGGAGGTTAATCCAGAAGCATGTGAGAAAAAGACGGTGGGGAGACCAGTTTGCAGACTACTTGAACTGCCAGGAGGATGTGATGTGACCTTAGATTGCCACCTGGACATTAAAAACAAAACCCTTTTTTAGAACAGCTTTGGAATTACAGAAAGATTGTGATAATAGTTCCCCCATTATTGTCATGCATCAGTATGGTATATTTGTTAATGAAACAATATCAATACATTATTTCTCACTGAAGTCCATACCATATGTAGATTTTCTTAGCCATTGCCCAGTGCCCCCCTTTTTTTGGTTCCAGGATCCCATCCAGGACACCACATTACATTTAGCCCCTTCTTGGCTGTGACCGTTTCTCAGACTTTCCTTGCTTTTTATTACCTTGACAGTTTTTAGGAGTACAGTTCAGGGTTTTTTTATAGAATTTTCCTCAATTGGGATTTGTCTGCTGGTTTTATCATTAGACTGGAGTTCTGAGGTTTTGAAAGACCAAAAAATGTGCCATTCTCATCCATCATATATGGTACTGATTATCAACACGACTATGGGTGTCACTGAAATTAATTGGGATTTTTATGTGAAAACGATTTCTTGAGACAAATCAGATCTGACACTAGTGGGGCTTCATTCCAGTGTGACAATTAGCTGGACTGAATCACAACTGTCCCTTTGAGGTGGGCTTGTGCTTTCAGATCACAGTCCCACCTCCCTGTTTCAGTCACTGGCCTTACCTGGACGGTCTCTGCAGGGGATCAGCCTTGCCTGTGTCATCAGCAAACACAGGCTGCATTTGCCAACGTTCTGTTCTAGAGTGAAGTGCAAGGCAGAGTTTAGCAGTAAGGTCACTGGTGGGTGTATGCTGGGCTTAAGGGAGAAACTGGGAGGTGGTGGTGGTGGTGATTAAATTCCTCACCTACAGTAAAGTCCTTTGGAAGCAGCAACTGTGCAACCAAAGTACCTTGGTTTACACCCTGAATTGCCTCTCTGTGTACCAGTTTTTCAAGTGGGCATACGTATACTTCCTTTTTTTTTTTTTTTTAAGATTTTATTTATTTATTTGACAGACAGAGATGAGAGGCAGGCAGAGAGAGAGGGGGAAGCAGGCTCCCCACTGAGCAGAGAGCCCGATGCGGGGCTCGATCCCAGGACCCCGAGACCACGACCCGAGTCGAAGGCAGAGGCTTTAACCCACTGAGCCACCCAGGCGCCCCGCATACGTATACTTCTTGAAAGGACTGAATGAGAGAACAGGAGCAAAGAACTTAGAACCGTGCCTGGCACCTACTAAGCACTCAGTAGATATTAGCTGTTTATTAGGGAACTTCACATTTGTGTGGAGATCAAGCCCCACAGGTCTGCTGTCTTTTCCCAGATCGGAGGCTGGCCCAGCCAGGTTAAGTTCCCACTGTGCCAGGGCAGATAGAAGAACTCCATATTACTCCCCCTTCCGTGCTCACCTCAACTCCACCTAAATGCCCCTTCCTGCATAATGGCCGTCACTAACATCGCGTAGGTGCCCAGCACCTACCAAGTATGTTTGCCCGTTCTCTTTTAACCCAAGCAGCCATGCCAGTCAGGGGCTACTCATACACGCAAGTAGGAAACAGATGCAAAGAGATGGTGCCCTGCCCCCTAGTGCTTCGCTCCTCGCTAGCGCTTGGGGTCTCTGCTGAGCCCGAGGCAGAGCCGCGAGCCTGGCCTTGCCCCCGCCCCCCACCCCCCGGCTTGTTTGCGGAGGAACCCTGCACCCACCACCTGGGGCCGGGAAGAGGACGGCGGTGCGGATTATCATCCCAGAGCGCCGGTTTGGAGGTCTGGAGGCTAACTCAATCCAGCACCGGCCCAGTGACCTGAACCCCCTCCGGGTTCTCGGCTTCTCAGGAGAACAAGCGGCTCCCCCGCAAGGCAGTTGAACCGCCGTAGCCGGAGCGCTCGACCGTTCCTCGCACGCGGAACCTTTCACGCGGCGGCTCGGCGGAGCCGACGGCGCGGCAGGAGCGGCGGATCCGGCGGACCGGGGGGCGGGGCGGACGCGCCGGGGCGGGGCGGGAGGCGGAGGCGCCGCGTAGCCCCGGGAGGCCGGGCCGGCCCAGCTGGGAACTCGAGTCCCATGCGCCGCCACCTCCCCCCACGATGTTCCCCTCCCGGAGGAAAGCGGCGCAGCTGCCCTGGGAGGACGGCAGGTGAGCGGCGGCGGCCGGCCCGGGCCCCGTCCTCCCGGGTGCCGATCCTTTCCGGGCCGCCCCGCGGAATTTAGGAGCCCGAGGCCGTCGCGTCCCCGTCTGCGGGGCTTCCCGAGGGTCTGTGGTTCTCCTTGTGGGTCGCTGTCTCTCTCTGGGTACGGGTCGCCCTCTCTCCGTGTGGGTCTCTGTGTCTCGCAGTCTCCGTCGCCCCGCAGGTCTCCGTCCCCCCGCGGGTCTGTATTTCTCCCATGACTTCTCCTTGTGAGTTTCTGTCCCTCTCTTGGCGGGTCTCTGTCCCTCGGTGTGGGTCTCTTTGTGTCTGTTTCTCCACTGGCGTCTGTCTGCGTGCGGGGCTCTGACTCCACGGACCTCTCCCCTCGGATCGCTGTCTTTCTGTCTGCCCCTGGCCCCTGAGGGTCTTTCTCCCTCTTCTCTGGTCTCCCGCTTCCCGCCTCACATCCCTGTAGCCTCAGACCCTACCCTCCCTCACGCTTCCCCAGCCTTTGCTGACCGCCCAAAAGCTGTTCCGACCAGACAGAAGCTCTGTGTGCGGTGCCTGGCAGGGCCCTGCCTGGCACGTACTAGGCACTCGGCACACGTAATGCTGGTTCATTTCCGGTGCAGCTGTACGGGGTCCAGACCTTAGCTAGTGATGTTTTCCACTAAAAAAAAAAAAAAAAATGGGGTAGGGGAGCCATCTAGACCCGTCTAGATTTGGGAGGACACCCACACTTCGTTCTGAAGATGTGCCCGCAAAACTCTTCCCACCCAGAACCAGAATGGGGAATGACACCCCATTCCCTGTGTGTCTCTTGAGTTTGCCAGGTGCCAAATATTCTGGAATACAGTGGACACAACTTCTTCCTGGGGGGTATTCTGACGTGGTGTTGAAGTCGGAAGACAGGGATATAAGAGTAGGAAAGCCTGGACAGTGGAATCCGCCTTGAGCCATGTGACCCGAAACAGATCCCTTCATCTTTCCAACCTCAACTTTGCCATCTCCGCAGCAGGGATCATAGTATCTACTCTGCAGAGCTGTCTGAGACGGCATCTGTAAAGCTCTTGACACTGCACCTGGTACAGAGGAGGTGTCTGACGGTTCCCTTTGTAGTTGGGCGGTCCTGTAACCAGAGCAGCTGATATTCAAACCTGTATCACTAAGCCTTGTGTAAGGAAAGAGAGGAAAGGTAATGGAAGAGAAGTTCCATTTCCTGATCCCTTTCCATAAACCTTTGGAACATACCTGTGTTCCCAGAAAAAGTTACCGATGTCAATGCCTGCTTTGGACCCAGGGGTACAAAGGTCCATGCAACAGATGCAGGCTAGTATAACAGTTGAGAGTGCTGGCTCTGGAGCCAGCCTACCTGGGTTTGAATCTGCCTTTTCTAGCCTTGGGCACAGACTGATAGAGACAGAGCAGGGTGTGCCCCTCAGAGCAGGGTGCCCCAGGGCTGGGAGCCGCTGGTCTTGCAGACCTGGAGATCGCCACCAGGTGGCACCAGGAGCCCTCAGTGTCCACTTGTCCTGATGATTGGAGATTTGGCTCTGAATTCAGTTGATTTGGGATCTTAGAGCCCAAAGGATAAGCTTGCCTAAGAGAACGTGGTCCTGAAAGGGAAGCTGGACTGAAGGAACAGCCTGTGAAATTGCACAGAGTGCCCAATCCATGCCACACCCCTGGATAATGGTCACTGCTTCTTTTCCCAAAGGTGGGATGTTTCCTCATGTTTGCATCCCCGGTCTCCATCCCACCCCCAGAAAGAGCCCCAAGGGCGAGAGAGAATCAGTAGAGGTTCCGGCCTTCCCAAGCCACTGGCAGGATTGGGCTTCGCTGCTCCGCAGCGGAGGAGAGTCCTACTACAGGACAGTGGGGGGTAAGTCAGAAGCCCAGGCAGAGTGTCCTACCTGGCCACCTCTCTGCCATGTGTGGGACCTGGCTAGGGCTGCTGGCTTCCAGGTTGGCGGTTGTGCTTTATGGATAGTTTGGCTCTGGTGTGTGACTTAAAGCATGCTGCGACTGCTTGAACCTTTCCTGTGACTCACCTAGCAAGCCCTCTGCTGCCTAAACTGGGGCCGCTGGCAGGAACTGATGACCTGCGGGGAAGACGGCGAACGGGACACCAATGATTCCAGACCTCTCAGTGCCTCGAGGAGGGAAGGCCCAGAGGCCATGGAGGGAGCTCGTAGATCAGCTTGAGCGCACACTGAGGGGTGGGCCCTGCAGGCCCTGGCATTAGAGTTGAAGGGGAGGGACCGTGCTGGCTGTGACAGTGGAGGTTGGCCCTGGAGGATGAGCAGGGGGCTTCCAGGCGAATAAAGTAAGGAAGGGCCCGGCAGGCTGTGTGAGCGCTGGAGCAGGAAGGAATGTGGTGAGTGGCGAAGCTCTGGGTTACCCAGCATGTGCCCTGCGGGGGTAGTAGGGAGCAACTCGGGTCCAGTCTGTGCCGCCTGCCAGCTAACTGGTGACTCTTTAAGGCTATAAAACTGGGTGTTTTGCAGGTGGTTGCAGGGGCAGTAGATCGAGGAAACTCTACTTTTCTTAGATTGCCCAGCTCCTTCCCAGGCTCAGCAAGAAAGATCCCAGCACTCCTCAGTGTCCAGGCCGTTCAGTGGCGCTGGCAGCTTCTAAACCCAGCTTGGGTTCCATCTTCCTCCCCTGCCGGCATCTTCCTCTCCCTCTTCCATCTCCCATTTCTTGTGACATAGGCTACCCCTTAGACTGAAGCTTTGAGACCTGTTCAGTGAACTGCCATTGTCTGTTTGGGCCTTGTGTTCTGGGGGCAGATCCAGTCTTCCCAGAATCAACTTAGGGCTCTTCCCTGTGACCGATGCTGGCACCGGCCCCTGCCTTGGGGGCCTTTCTGGTGTGAGAAGCAGGATGAAGTCAAGGTTTCAGCTGGGGTTGAACCAACAGGGGAGCGGGGTTTGAAAGGCAATGGGTGGGATCTCTAAGGCCGTGCTCCTGTCTGGACCTCGGGCTGTATGTCCTGGGGAGGGGAGGGTACAAGGGACAAGGAGTCTCATCCCCATCCAGCAGCAGCTCTTGATCTGACCTGGACTCACTCACAGAAAGTAAGGGGGTATGAAAGAGCTGGGGAAGCCCTGCCCTGGGGTCGGAGGGCTTTCTGGAGGCAGGGTGACAGAGGCTGGGCCCAGAGCAGCGAGCAGGATTCTGACGCGAGGTAGCAGCACAAACCAAAGCATTCGGGGGGCTTCTGCACTAATTCCCAGGTGCTTGGGGCAGACCGGTCCTGTGTGCCCGACTTGTGGGGAAGCCAGAGGAGGGGCCTGTCAGAGGGTCCAACCCCTGGCGCCACCGGCACTCCTAACCTTGTCTGTGCTCTTGTCCCAGGTCCAGGTTGCTCCCCGGCGGCCTCCCTCGGAAGTGCTCCGTCTTCCACCTCTTTGTCGCCTGTCTCTTACTGGGCTTCCTCTCCCTGCTCTGGCTGCAGCTCAGCTGCTCCGGGGACGTAGCCCGGGCAGCCAGGGGACAAGGGCAGGAGACCCCGGGCCCACCCCGCTCCTGCCCCCCCGAGCCACCACCTGAACACTGGGAAGAAGACGCCTCCTGGGGCCCCCACCGCCTGGCCGTGCTGGTGCCCTTCCGCGAGCGCTTTGAGGAGCTCCTGGTCTTTGTGCCCCACATGCATCGCTTCCTGAGCCGGAAAAAGATCCAGCACCATATCTATGTGCTCAACCAGGTGGACCACTTCAGGTAGGAATGGTCTCCTGAAGCAGCAGCCCCTCTCCAGGCCCTCACCCTGCCTCGGCCCCTCGGGCACCTCCCTTCCCCACGGGAGTCCCATGCCAGGGGGGCCTCTGGCCTGTGAAAGCACCCTCCCCTCCCCCAACACCGGGGCAGTGGAAGGAAGTGGGGGAGCAGTGGTCCCTTCTCGGGGGTGTGCTGGGAATTTGAGAGGCAGATTTGGGGTCAAAGAGTGTCCTGATCTAATAGCCGTTTTCTGTTTGTTTAAGATTTATTTATTTGAGAGGGAGAAAGAACAAGCAGGTGGGAGGGGCAGAGGGAAAGAATCTCAAGCAGACTCCATGCTGGGCACCAAGCCGGTCACGGTGCTCGATCTCACCACTCTGAGATCACGCCCTGAGCCAAAACCAAGAGTCAGACACTTAGCTGCCTGAGCCCCCCCAGGCGCCCCAGTATCCATTTTGAAAAGATGGCCACGGCTGCTGTATGAGGAATAGCTTTTACCTGGACAGGAGAAAGGTGCTGGGTGCTGGGAGGTGAGGGTGTCTGGGCTCTGGGGAAGCGGATGTCCCGGGAGATGGGTTGAGGAGGAAGCCCACGCAGAGCTTTCTAGTAAACTGGCTGTGGGTATTCAGGGAAGGGAGGGTAAACACCACAGCTTCGAAGCTGCTCACCGTCAGGTGTTACCCTGAGATCCTCACCCTTTACCACGCACTGCTCGCCTCCGTGAGCCAGTCCACACGTCTCTTCTACCTCCTCTCCCTGCGCTTCCATCCGCTGGGAGCCGGGTCCAAAGGCTCAGGGGACCCACCAGGCCCTTTAGGCTCAGTTCCCCCCAGTTTTCACAGCCCACACTTTTGTCCTCACGGTCTCCTCCTAACCCTGGCTTGGAATCCAGGGTCCATCGTTAGCAGCAGTCCCTCGCCTACTTCTTGGCTCCCTGACCCACCACCACTGACGATGCCTCTCCCGCACCTGGGCAGCTGGATGTGGCTGGAGAGGGCGCTCCGCTCATCTTCCTGGCAATGGAAGGCCTGCCTAGAAGCCTTGTGCTCCTCTGGCGTGCTGCCGCGCCACTGTCTGACGCAGCTTTGCACCCTTTCTGTGCTCCTCCCTGCTCCTCAGCTTCAGCCGATGACTTGGCTTCCCGTTTGAGAACACAGAGCTGTTTGAGAAGATGCTGGAAGAGGGTGTGCCCAAGTGCCCACCAGCTTCTGTGTGGGCGTGCTGGGGATACCCCGTCCCAGCCCCTCCAGGGCCAGCTCTGCCACTCGGGCCCTGGACGGACGTAGCTCCTCTCTCTCCTGCATGAATTCCTCCCTCTAGGAGCATTTGCATCAGCACACACTGAAATAGCTCCCATCTGAAAAAAGAAGACAAGACCCTGTGACCTCCCATCACTCATATTTCTCTGCTCCCCTCTCTCCCATCTCGCTCTTTGGAACCTGCTCTCCTCCCAACATTTACCCCCACATCTGTGACAGGGAGGCAGCTCTCCCTGATACCAGCAGTGAGCCTGTGGCGGTGACCCGAGGCCCTGTTCTTAGCCCGCATTGGCCAACTGGGTTACTACTTCCTTCTTAAAACACCTCTGTTTGGCTTTTTTTTTTTTTTTTAAGATTTTTTTATTTATTTATTTGACAGAGAGAGATCACAAGTAGGCAGAGAGGCAGGCAGAGAGAGGAAGGGAAGCAGGCTCCCTGCTGAGCAGAGAGCCCAATGCGGGACTCGATCCCAGGACCCTGGGATCATGACCTGAGCCGAAGGCAGCGGCCTAACCCACTGAGCCACCCAGGCGCCCTTAAAACACCTCTGTTTGGCTTTTGAAGCCCTCTGCTTCTCCTCCTTCCTTACTGCCTGCCCCCACCCAGCTGTGTCCTTCACTGGTTCTGCCTCACCCTCCTGACCTCGCGACCTTGGTGCTCTTGGGCTCAGTGCCTCCGTGTCCTTTTTCCTGCCTACAGCCACTCCCTGGGGATGTCATCCGGTCTCAGCATTAAACCCCGCCGCCGTCCAGACCCTGCTGACCCCCTGAGTCTGTTCCAGCCCAGGAGCTCTCCTGACCTCCAGACCCGCACGCGCAGCCGCCCGCATCCCTCTCCTTCTTGGCGTCTCGGGCATCCCAAGCTTCGTGTGATCAAAACCGCATTTCTGATTCCCCACCCGACCCCTCCCCAGCTCAGGAGCCGGCTGCTTCTCGCTTCCGGTGGCTCCGGCCAGAAAGCCTCAGAGTGCTTAGCTCTTCTCTTTCCCTCACGCGGTGCATTCTGTCCCTCAGAATACATCTAGAATCTGCCCACTTCTCACCTCCCCCCTGAGCTAAATCACTGCTGTGTCCTGCCGGAATGAGTGTAGGAGCCTCCCAGCCTGACTCCCGCTCCCCCCGACCCTCCCGTCTCTTCCCCACACCCCAGCCACAGCCATCCTGTTACACCCGAAGTCACAGCACGGCCTGCCTCTGCTCCTGCCTCAGGCCTTGGCAGTGGCTTTCCTCTCTGCTTCCTTCCAGCTCATTCCCTCAGCCCTTCGCCTGCCACCCCATTACCATGGCTCCCCCTGCCCCCCTCCCGTCTGGAAGAACACTGACTTGCCCCCCAGTGGCCTCCCCACTCCTCGCCCTGCTCTATCTTCCTCCATTGAGCCTGCCAGGGTCTGGCTAGATACACAATTACTTACTTTTCTCTCCTCTTATCAGCATGTCCTTTCCCTGATAGCAGTGCTTTGACTTCTCCACATGGGTACTGCAGGGATCCTGCTGCTTTCTGGCGCAGGGTGGGGGCTCGCTAGGCATGTGTGAGCTGAGCTGGGGTCAGGCGTGTAGTCAGGCAGCCCCCCCCACCCTGGGAAGACAGCGTCGGGCAGGAGGGTGGCCCGGGCTCGTGCTGTGGAGGACAGGCTCCCGCTCACGGTGGAGAGCAAGCCCACCTGCCCACCCCCCAGCTCAGCCAGCTTGCTGCCTCCCTGTGCAGGTTCAACCGCGCAGCCCTCATTAACGTGGGCTTCCTGGAGAGCAGCAACAGCACGGACTATATCGCCATGCACGACGTGGACCTGCTGCCCCTCAACGAGGAGCTAGACTATGGCTTCCCTGAGGCCGGCCCCTTCCACGTGGCCTCCCCGGAGCTCCACCCGCTCTACCACTACAAGACCTACGTGGGTGGCATCCTGCTGCTCTCCAAGCAGCACTACCAGCTGGTGAGGCCCGGCCTGTGCGGCCCAGGGCCAGGGAGTGCTTGCCTGCATGGGGGCGCCACTGGGGGTGCAGCAGTTCCGGGGGCCCAGCAGATGGAGGTGTCCAGCCCCGGGCCCGTCCTGGGAGCGCGGGAGCGGCCAGCGACGTGGGCCAGGAATGGAACCCAGTGTGTCAGTTAGGGAGGATGCGGCTGCGGCAGCAGGAACCGCTGGACCGGCTGGCTTCAGAAGACTCAGGGTTCCTTGGCTGGGAAAGTGGACCCGGCTGGGTGGGACCCGGGGAGGGTCTGGCTTCCAGGGCAGCTGGCCCGGCCTCTCAGACAGGGTCCCCGGGACACCATTTCCCCTGCCATCTCTCAGCTCGGCTTTGTCCGCAGAGTGGATTGATTTTCAGACACTGGAGGTGCGAGGTGGTTGTCGTAGCTGTGCCCCCTGCCCTGGTCCACCTAGGCCCGGGGTCAGGAGAAGCTGGAGTGCCTTCCCCAACAGCCCAGACAGGAGTTTCAGAACTGCACCGTGCTGCCTCCTGATTGGCCTGACTTAAGTCAGGGGCCTGGCCCGAGTCAGGGGCTGTGGCTGGAGGTGGAGGTGGGCAGGGGGCAAGGGTGGTGAGGGGTAGGGTGGGAAGGACCAAGTGGCTCAGACCCCCATCTTTTTAGGGTGTGGCTGAGGCCAGCTCTGTGTAGATGAAGCCCCAGGCCAGGTGGCGGCAGAGGTGCTGCCAGAGCCCAGCTGTCCCTCTCCCCTGGGAAGAGACCAGGGCAGAGCCTCCCTAGGAGAAACGGGGGCATGGGGCAGGCAGAAGTCAAGCAGGAGCTGGCACTTCTGCCTATCACCAGCTCCCCAGAGAGGTGCCCTCCCTCCCGCCCGTCAGACCTTTCTGAGAAACCAGGCATCTCACACAAGTTCAAGGCCCCATTAGAACAGGCAAAGGGACTGGGCTGCAGTGCCTGCCCCCCCATACCTCAGCGGCTGTGGGAACTGGGTGTCCATTCGAATCTCCAGAGGACGAGGAGGAGCAGGGGGCCTTGGCCGACTTCCACTTGATAGGATACCGGGGAATGCCCCTGGGAGGATGGGGCAAGTGATGTTGCCTGTTTCTGTGTCAGTGCAACGGGATGTCCAACCGCTTCTGGGGCTGGGGCCGTGAAGATGACGAGTTCTACCGGCGCATCAAAGGGGCCGGGCTGCAGGTAACACCCCCCACCTCCCCGAAAGGCTTCCAACCTCCTCAGTCATTGTGGCTGCCCTGGTTCCCTTCTCTGACCTCAGATGAGGTTCCTGGGGCTTGGAGATGGCCACCCTGCCCTGCCCCTGATGAGCACCCACCCCCTTCTGCCGAACAGCAGTGCAGGCCCCTGCCTGTGGCCCTTGGCAGGCACTGGGACCCTGGGAAAGTAGTGGTAAGGGCCAGAGCTCTGAGAGGTGGCCTGACCCAACTTCCTTTGGCCTTCTTAGCTTTTCCGCCCCTCGGGAATCACAACTGGGTACAAGACTTTTCGCCACCTGCATGACCCAGCCTGGCGGAAGAGGGACCAGAAGCGCATCGCTGCTCAAAAACAGGTGCTGACTGGTTCCCTGATTGGGGATGCACAGGTGGTGATGTGGAGGGTGGGCAACGGGGCCAAGCCTTACCACCACGCTCTCTGGCCCAGATGACCCTGTCCTCCACTGTGTGGCCCAGCACAGCCCCTGAGCACTCTACTCAAGCAGTCTGCCCCGCCCTGGTAGCTGCCATGGGCACCTGGGCACCATGGGCCGGCCCAGACCTCAGGGTCCAGGCAGGTGGGGAGCAAGCGAGGACTCCGCTGTAGGTGCCGAATCCCAGGCAGACCTGTGACGGGTGCCACCACCCCGCACACACCCATATGGGTCCGTCGGCTCTCCTGCTTACTAGTGGGGCACTGCTGGGGACCGCTGGCCACCACAAAGCCCTGAGTACACGCCCGCTCCCCCTTCCCTTCCCAGGAGCAGTTCAAGGTGGACCGCGAGGGCGGCCTGAGCACCGTGAAGTACCGCGTGGATTCCCGCACTGCCCTGTCAGTGGGCGGGGCCCCCTGCACTGTCCTCAATATCCTGTTGGACTGTGACAAGACTGCCACCCCCTGGTGCACGTTTGGCTGAGCTGACGGGACAATAAGGAAGCCTGTACCCCCTGTACCCGCAGGCCACACAGCTCCTCAGGCTCAGGACAAAGCCTCAGGCCCGGGGCCCAACTCCAGTAGGACGTGGAGGGTCCCAAAGCAGCGGAGAGCAGGCCACCTGGCTACCCCGGGGCAGGCTGGAGCCGGGACGGGACACACCCTTGGGCGCCCGAGATGCTGCTAGCAATAAACAGTGACACAGAGCGGCTGGATGCAGCTCCCACCTGGGACCGTCCACCCCCTTCCTGCTTGCCCTGCTCCACCTGCCCTCGGGCACTCAGACCATGAGGACTTTTGGTTCCTTCCCCCTGGACCGCCTTGTGCAGAAGCCGGGCCATGGACGTGGGTGGCTGGGCCCATCCAGAGGGTTAGAACTGCAGACACCGCTGTGCCGGTCCCACGGAAGGACACTGCGGACGCCGGCTCTGGCTGCATGTCACCGTGCAGGAACGCAGGCCCCATGTTGCTGGATCTTCTGATTTTTTCAAAAGAAACTAGAATTCTGGATTCTTAAGTGAAATCGATTACTTTTTAAACGCTAGCAACTCATTGAAACTTCAGAAAAGGATGCTGAGCCAAACAAAACATGTCGTAGAGCATCAATTTGTTGCCTGTGACCAAGCAGAGGGGGCTGGGGCAAAAGATGGCACCTTTCTTAGTGACAAGCTGGCAAGGGTTTGGAACAGGGCTGGGGACCCCAAATCCAGGGGAAGCTCAGGTGGGAGAGAAGCCAAAAGAAGGGCAAGGTTCCTGCCACCTCCCATAGCCCTCCAGGCTTCACTGCCCTTCTGGGTAGTCTGGTCCCCCTGGGCTCTGATGGGCTCCAACTCGGGGGTCAGGGGGCTTCATCCCACCGCACTGGGATGGACAGACAGAGATCCACAGGCCCAGACTCGGGGTAGGCAGAAGGTGCCGGCAAGGACCTGGTCATAGAGCTTGGGGGTGGGAAGAGCACGTTTCTGAGGTGGGAGAAAGAAGACAAGAAGCAGGAGAATCCTGGAGCGTTCCCACAGCATGAGGCATATAACCGATGATCACATGATGTCCAGGAGAGGCGAAGGAGGGGGGCCAAGGGAGACCATGGAATTGGGGAGTGACCTTGGAGGAATTCTCCGCATGGAAGCCTGGGGCCAATGAGAGCGGGAGGTGAGGGGTTCTTCAAGGCATCTGACTGCCAAAGATTTGGGCCAGTAGTCAGAGGAGTCTTGGACCAGTGATGCTTGGTTTGTTTAACAAACAAGACACCTGAAATGCTAGAAGAAGAGATTGAAGTCCCAGAGTTCAGGAGGGTAGATTCAACAGCTGTGCTCCAAAAAGCCTACCGCACTGAGGATGATCTCAGGGCGGCCCCATGCAGTTGCTGGAGTTGTGCACCGCATCACCTGAGCATGGTGTAATTGAGTACAATGGAACTATTCAGATGTCTAACAGAGGGTCCCTGTTATCCTAAATTGACCTCTTCCAGCAATTCAGCTTCACTCAGCATAGTGAGGGGCAAGCACAGGGAGATGACAGTGTAGGGGCAGGGCAGGAGTGGAGGTCTTGCTCAACTTGAGGCCCAGGAGAGGGGAGTGAAGCGCTTCCCATGGGCCAGTCTCTGTACATCCCTGGCTGCATCATCTTGGGCTTCCAGAACATGGAGGCAGAACACCAGTCTCTTTGGAGTTGGTGAGAACGGGTGTGGCATCAGAGCCCCCACCTTGGTCCTCACCCAGCATGTAGCAAGACCCACAAGGTTAGGGAGCTCTCTCCTTGCCACCTTCATAGAGGGAGTAGAATGAAGCAGGACCAGCTGCCTTGGCCCTGGGAGGATCCCTCCCCTTCCCCTTATGCCCACGGCCACCACCTCCTTCCAGGATCTGATAGGCACCCCAGGCCAGGCCTGATGCAGCCAGAATGTGCAGCCTGCCTCCCTCCCCAGCCACTCCAGCAGAGGAGGAGAGGGCGGAGCGGTGGCACTGGGAGGAAGCAGACAGCTCTGCCACTTCCTCAGCACCTTGGTCGCCCGCTCTGCAGAAGGGAGCTGACCTCCTTGTCTTGCCGGCCAGGGCAGGAAGTGGACCCAGGACTCAGCAGCAGCTGGTGCGGCATTTGACTAACGGGGTGGCTAGAATAGCAACTAGTCCTCATTGGGTATTACCCACATACAGAATTCTTGCCATTGCTTTCTCTCATGAAGCTTCTCTCTACCTAAGCTAGGTCCTATTTATTCACCTGTTCTATAGAGGAGGAGGATGAAACAGAGAGAGGTAAGTAGCTTGCCAAGGTCAGAGAGCCAATACACGGTGGGGCTCAGGGTTTGGATCCCAAGACTCTGATTGAGAGCTAGATTCCCTCATCCCTGGCCCGTACAGCAGGTGCCAAGAGACAGATGTTCCTTCCCTTCCAGACCTTCCCTCTCCTCTCCCCAGCCGGAGGGGGCTGATGGGAGGGCTGGTCAGTGCCATCTGGTGCCCCCCCCCACTTCTGGGACAAAAGCAGAGCGAAGGGGAGATCCAGAGTGTCTGCCCCTTACCTCCTCTGCCTGGAGGAAGGTGGGGATTTTTCCCTGCTGGAGAGGTCCCCTGGGACATCGGCAGGCTCCACAGCTTGGCCCTGTGCCTGAGGAATGTACCAGAGGCTTGGGAAAGGCCTCCCCACAAAGGCAGGGTCTTGATGGTGGAGCCACATTGCAGTCATGATGGGAAGGGTTCCAGAGGGATCAGCAAGGGCAAGGCAGAGACACTGGGGACAGCGTGAAGGTGTAGGACCTGGAAGCAGTTCGGGATGTCCCTGGTACTCTGATGCAGTGTAGGAGTCGGGGCAGGTGGACAGCAGAGGGAAGGCTAAGATGACGCCTGAGGACCTGGGAAGGCCACACTGAGCAACATCTACATTATTCCATGGGCACAGGGGTTTTGAGCAGTGGAGAGTTTCTGAGCAGAGACATATGATTAAGTCTGTGTTCTAGAAAGATCCTTGGAGGGGTGGTTCCAGGGGGATGGAAGATGGAGTCTGGGGGAGGGAGAGCTTAGGCTGAACAAGACTAATAATGAAGCCATACTGAGGCCAAACTAACAAGGACATTAGGAGAACTTAAAGCCACTGGCACCTAAAGCTACAGTAACCATTAAACTGGTCCAACTCCTATCCAGACTAACATCAAACTTCACGTTAAAGGTCTCTATCAGTCCCTTGACCCAATAAATCATGCATTTACAAGTCATGCTAAAAGGCAAGGAAAATAACAGACTGAAGAGAGGAGCAAGAATCAGAACCAAACTCAGTTATGACACAGATCTTGGAATTACAGAGAGGAAATTTAAAATAACTATGACTCGTATGTTAAGGGTTTGGGATATTATGATTTGTCAGAAATATACATTTGGTCTGTCAGAGGAACAAAAGCAATTTCTTCTCACGTATTTGGTCTTCATCCATGGTTCCTGGCTCCCGGCTCATAGCATTTCCTCAGCAATAAGAGCAATGTGAGCATGTTTGGTTATAGTATTTGGTCTCTGGTCCTCAGTCCTGAAAACCACTTCAGAGCCATCAAGGTGAAATGGGTCTCTTGTTGTTCCCTATAAGCCCCTTTTCATTATAACTGGGCTTACGAGGTTTGTTTGTTTTTTTAAAGATTTATGTATTTATCTAAGAGAGAGGAAATGCACAAGCAGGGGGAGGGACAGAAAGAGATGGAGAGGGAGACCATCTTAAGCAGACTCCATGCTGAGCCCAGGGCCTGACACGGGGCTCGATCCCATGACCCTGAGATCATGACCTGAGCCAAAACCAAGAGTTAGACGCTCAACTGACTGAGCCACACAGGCACCCCTCATTTTTAGCTTGAATAATTTGTGTGTGTATCCATTAAGATTTTTTATATACGTAATTATGTAACATAAATAGAAATAGTTTTCCTTTCTTTTCAATAAGGATGCCTTTAATTTCTTTTTATTGCCTAATTGCCTGGCTAGAAACTCCACTACAGTGTTGAATAGAAGTGACAAAGGCAGAAATCCTTGTTTTGTTCTTGATCGTAGAGGAAAAGCTTTGTTTCTCAATATTAAGTATGATGTCAGCTCTGTGTTTTTTGTAGCTGTTCTTTTTTTAAATTAACATATAATGTATTATTTGCCCCAGGAGTACAGGTCTGGAAATCATCAGTCTTACACAATTCACAGCACTATCCATAGCACATACCCTCCCCAGTGTCCATCATCCAGCCACCCTATCCCTCCCCCCCCCCCCCCCCAGCAATGCTCAATTTGTTTCCTGAGATTAAGAGTCCGTTATGGTTTGTCTCCCTCCCCGGTCCCTCTTTGTTTTATTTTTTTCTCCTCTCTTCCCCCCACGATCCCCACCCTGCCTCTCAAATTCCTCATATCAGGAAGATCATATAATTGTCTTTCTGTGATCAACTTATTTCACTTAGCATAATACCCTCTACATCATTGCAAATGGCAAGACTTTGGGGGTTTTGATGGCTGCATAGTATTCCATTGTATATAGGTACCATATCTTCTTTATCCATTCATCTGTTGATGGACATCTAGGTTCTTTCCATAGTTTGGCTATTGTGGACATTGCTGCTATAAACATTCAGGTGCACATGCCCCTTCAGATCACTACATTTCTATGTTTAGGGTAAATACCCAGTAGTACGATTGCTGGGTCATAGGGTAGCTCTATTTTCAACTTTTTGAGGAACCTCCATACTGTTTTCCAGAGTGGCTGCACCAGCTTGCATTCCCACCAACAGTGTAGGAGGGTTCCCCTGTCTCTGCATCCTCTCCAACATCTGTCATTTCCTGACTTGTTCATTTTAGCCATTCTGACTGGTGTGAGGTGGTATCTCATTGTGGTTTTGATTCGTATTTACCTGATGCCGAGTAATGTAGAGCACTTTTTCATGTGTCTATTGGCCATTTGGATGTCTTCTTTGCAGAAATATCAGTTCATGTCTTCTGCCCATTTCTTGATTAGATTTTTTGTTCTTTGGGTGTTGAGTTTGAGAAGTTCTTT